AAAAAAAAAAGACTTACTATAAAGAGACGCTTGTCAAAGCAGTACGGCATGAGCAAAAAGATAAACGCAGATCATCAGGAGTGAGCAGAGTCCAGAACAGGTCCACAGGTGCACAGCTAACTGATGTTCAACAGAGGTACCGCAGCAACAGAAAGTCTTGGGAATTCGAAAAAGTACATTCTTTCCAACACATGGTGCGGGTGGATGGGCAAGGCGGTGAGTGCGAATCTAGCAAGTGCATATTCATTTACTCCCAGTATTTTGAGTATGTGCCAGCACAAAATGCTAAGACCCTCAAACCCTGAAATTGGACATTTTGGGTTGAGAAAACATTATTTTGTTTAAAGAATTATTTATTTAATTTTACTATTTTTAATTTATCATAGAGAGACATAAAGAGAGAGAGAGGGAAAGTGAGAAAGTAAGCCGTAAGGACTGGGACTTGAACTGCGGTCAGCATGTGGGAATACCTTAACCACCATGCCACCTACTGGTTGCATGGACCAACTGTTACAGGATATATTTTGTCCTTCTGATCAACAGCTTTTATAGTAAAATAAAACTAAAAAGCTGGGGACCAGCTGCTGGGGTAGCAGTTATGTTGCTGGACTCTCACATGGCCAACCATGGTTCAAGTCCCAAACCCAGTGGCTTCAAAATTATGCCAGGCATGTGTATGTGGATGCCCAAGACCCTGGGTGGAGAATGGAGAAGGGATTGTGGCGTGGTCATTCTCCCTGGGGGTGATTTCTCACTTTTCCTCTGATTGTGTGTCTCTCTTTTTCTCCAGTGAGCACATGTGCACAAAGGCAAAAACCTCTTAAAAAATAAAAAAGAAAGAACTAAAAAGCTGATCAAAAAAGAAATGATTGATATAGAAGAAAGAATACAGACGTTGAAATCTAAGAGAATACTGTCATGCACAGTGTAACAATGTTTCCATCAATGAGGATGCAGCTAGGACAGTCCCATGGGGAGCACAGTGGCTATACCATGTCATCGAGGTGTGGCATGCTAGGTCATCCAGGCCTGGGTAAGTACGCTTTGTGGTGTTTACATAATGAGGAACTCGCCTAACAACACATTCCTCAGAATATGTGACAACTATGAATAAATTTATGACAGGGACAAGCAGATAGCATAATGGTTTTGTCCCTGGATTCCCATGTAGTTGACTGTGAAGCAAGTCCTGGATCCGGCAGCTTAAAACTCATGCCAGGTGGGGAACCAGCAGTTAGCGTAATGGCTATGTCGCTGGATTCCCACATAGTTGACCGTGGTTTGAGTCCCGGGCCCGGTGGCTTAAACTCACGTCGGGCGCATGTGCGTGCGTGCCCAAGATCCCGAGAGGAGAACGGAGGAGAAGGGATTGCAGCGTGGCCATCCCCCCTGGGGGGTGATTTCTTGCTTTCTGTCTCTCTGTCTCTGTCTGGCAAGCGCACGTGCCCCATAGCAAAAACCTCTCCAAAAACAAACAAACAAACAAACAAACAAACAAAAACTCATGCCAGGTACACATGCATGTGTGCCCAAAATCCTGAGAGGAGAATGGAGGAGGAGTTGCAGCATGGTTATCCCTGCTGAGGAGTGATTTCTTGCTTTCTGTTTCTCTGTCTCTCTGGCAAGTGCATGTGCCCTATAGCAAAAATCTCTCTTAAAATATGCTTATGACAATATATTTAAAAACATAAGGCACACATGGTTGTATGGTGCTAAAACATTACTGGTTGCATGGACCAACTGTTACAGGATATATTTTGTCCTTCTGATCAACAGCTTTTATAGTAAAATAAAACTAAAAAGCTGGGGACCAGCTGCTGGGGTAGCAGTTATGTTGCTGGACTCTCACATGGCCAACCATGGTTCAAGTCCCAAACCCAGTGGCTTCAAAATTATGCCAGGCATGTGTATGTGGATGCCCAAGACCCTGGGTGGAGAATGGAGAAGGGATTGTGGCGTGGTCATTCTCCCTGGGGGTGATTTCTCACTTTTCCTCTGATTGTGTGTCTCTCTTTTTCTCCAGTGAGCACATGTGCACAAAGGCAAAAACCTCTTAAAAAATAAAAAAGAAAGAACTAAAAAGCTGATCAAAAAAGAAATGATTGATATAGAAGAAAGAATACAGACGTTGAAATCTAAGAGAATACTGTCATGCACAGTGTAACAATGTTTCCATCAATGAGGATGCAGCTAGGACAGTCCCATGGGGAGCACAGTGGCTATACCATGTCATCGAGGTGTGGCATGCTAGGTCATCCAGGCCTGGGTAAGTACGCTTTGTGGTGTTTACATAATGAGGAACTCGCCTAACAACACATTCCTCAGAATATGTGACAACTATGAATAAATTTATGACAGGGACAAGCAGATAGCATAATGGTTTTGTCCCTGGATTCCCATGTAGTTGACTGTGAAGCAAGTCCTGGATCCGGCAGCTTAAAACTCATGCCAGGTGGGGAACCAGCAGTTAGCGTAATGGCTATGTCGCTGGATTCCCACATAGTTGACCGTGGTTTGAGTCCCGGGCCCGGTGGCTTAAACTCACGTCGGGCGCATGTGCGTGCGTGCCCAAGATCCCGAGAGGAGAACGGAGGAGAAGGGATTGCAGCGTGGCCATCCCCCCTGGGGGGTGATTTCTTGCTTTCTGTCTCTCTGTCTCTGTCTGGCAAGCGCACGTGCCCCATAGCAAAAACCTCTCCAAAAACAAACAAACAAACAAACAAACAAACAAAAACTCATGCCAGGTACACATGCATGTGTGCCCAAAATCCTGAGAGGAGAATGGAGGAGGAGTTGCAGCATGGTTATCCCTGCTGAGGAGTGATTTCTTGCTTTCTGTTTCTCTGTCTCTCTGGCAAGTGCATGTGCCCTATAGCAAAAATCTCTCTTAAAATATGCTTATGACAATATATTTAAAAACATAAGGCACACATGGTTGTATGGTGCTAAAACATAACGCTTCCCATATAGGAAGGTTTCCAAGTTCAAGTCTAGAGACCTCCCTGAGTCTGCTGGGCACTACTTACGTGCCAGTGATCCAGGCTAGCTGAAGGCTTAGGGTGGATCGTGGCATCAGAGCCCTGTTGCGGTGCTGTCTCTCTCTGCTTCAGAGAAAAACAAATAAGCTCAAAAAAGTAAATAAAAACAAACAACTTTCTATGAAAATGTAAGGATAAATATTATATTAAGAAAAAATCCAGGGAGCAGCAGACGGTGTAATGGCTATGTTGCTGGACTCACATGTAGTTGACCACGGTTTAAGTCCCAGACTTGGTGGCTTAAATTCACACCGGTCATATGTGTGTGCATGCCCAAGATCCCAAGAGAACAGAGAAGGGACTGCGGCGTGGCCAACCCCCAAGGGATGACTTCTCGCTTTCTGTCTCTCTCTGTATTTCTGTGTAGAACCTGAGCCTTATAGCAAAATCCTCTGCAAAAAAAAAAAAGAAAAGAAAAAGAAAAATCTAATATAGGCTTATGATAAGTTGATTCATAAATTGATTAATGGATTGATTCAATAATAAATTCACACAAAAAGTTTTTTTAATTTTAAAATTTTATTTATTTATTATTATTATAATTATGTTTTAATTTAACGAGAGCGTGAGAAAGGGAAAGTGAGAAAGCAAGCTGCCAGGTCCAGGATTGCACTGTGGTTGGCCATGTGGGATTCCATTGACTTAAACACCATGCCACCTGTGGGCCCCAACACAAAAAATTTTCACAAGGTACAGATTTATAAGTGAATTTCATAGAATCTACATAAATAATTTTTTTTCTAAATCATTAAAAAACAAAATAAGTAGAAAAGTGTCCCACTTCCTTTTATGTAACTAAAACCATGATATCATAATTGAACAGAGAAAAAAGGTTTAGTCTGATCCAACTTGTGAGCACAGAAATAAAAATCGTAAATAAAGAGTTCACAAGAAGTCCTGAGAAAATGTGTAAAAAAGCACCTTATCACACTTACTGGAAACAGGAATTCAAGTTAATATTAGGAAAGCCATTCTACAATCCACAAAATTTATAGGTGAGAATATTCCGAGAGACACAGCAGGTGCGCAGTATAACTCAGTGCCTGTTCATGACTAACGTGAGCGAGTGAGTGGCCACCTGGCAATGAGAGGTGACCGAGGTGATCTGTTGACAGCCACCAACATCGCAGTTCCTGGTAAGACCACTATTTCCTCTCGAGAATGACTTGGTCTACTTCTCTTTTCCATTGAATGTACGGATCCTTCTAAACCTCGTGAATGCAGTATAATACAAGGTGGGGAATGGATCAAGAACTCACCTGAGAAGTCTTCATGTTCCGTGGCTTCTGGGAGACTGCAGAGAATTGTGAAGGCTCAGCTGGGAGGGTGAAGGATGGAGTCACATGATCTGGTTGCCTTACGGTTCCTGGATTCACTTCCCCAAATCTCAGCAACCCAGGTATGGAGAGGCTTCCCTAAGAAAATAGGGCCCTGTTTTCTCACGCCCGAAAAAGGCAGCAGCACATGCCTCGGTGCAGCTCTAGAATAATCACAGGTGAACTCTAACGTGTTTTATTGCTTGAAAAGAAACGCTTTGGGACCAGCAGATGGCTTAACGGTTTTGTCACTGAACTTGTGCATGGCTGACTACAGTCTGAGTCCTGGATCTGGCAGCCTGAAATTCATGCTGGGCGTGTGTGTGCGCGTGCCCCAAATCTCGAGAGGAGAATGGAGGAGAATGGACTGCAGTGTAGTCATCCCTGCTGGGGGGTGATTTCTCGCTTTCTGTCTCTCTGTCGCTCCAGCGAGTGCACAAGTCCTATAGCAAAAATTTCTCTAAAAAAAGAGAAACTTTTCTTAATTAACAATAATGTGCTTGTCCTTCTATAATAAAGAAATGAAAATAACACAGGATTATTTGAATTAAAGTACACCAAAAGGTAAGACTCTATTCTTTCATTACAATTAACTTGGGGCCAGCAGTTGGCAGGGTGGCTGGATCCCACAGGGCTGACTGCATGGATGTGGTTCAAGTAGTACCTGCCTCCCACTCCCATCTTGAAAAACATGCCAGGCACATGTGTGTGCATGCTCATCCCAAGAAGAGAATGAAGAAGGGATTGTGACATGGTCATGCCCCCTTGGGGGGAATTTCATTCTCTATCTCTCTTCAGTGAGTACATGCTCTATAGCAAACTAAAAATAAAAAAGTAAAAAATAACTTAGAAAAATAGCGTGTGTCATTTATTTTTCTTAGTAATATTGTTTACCCTCTGGTACCGACAAACCATAGAAAGCATTTGTAAAAGAGAGAAGATGTTTTAAGGCAAGAGTTTTTTTTTTTTTCCTCCTTGATTTTATTTTATAATTTCTTATTTACATTTAATCATTGTACATCTTTGTGGGGCACAATACAAACTTTTTTCTTTCCTTTCTTTCTTTTTTTTTTTTAAGAGAGATTTTTGCTATAGGACACATGTGCTCACCAGAAAGACAGAAAGAGACAGAAAGTGAGAAATCGTCCCCCAGGTGGGATGTCCACGCCACAGTCCCTTCTCCTCCATTCTGCTTTTGGGATTTGGGGCATGCATGCACACATGCCCTGCATGAGTTTTAAGCTGCTGGGTTCGGGACTTGAATTGTGGTCAACTATGTGGGAGTCCAGCAACATAACCATTATGTCATTTGCTGGTCCCCACAATATGGATTTTCAAAGCAAATGTGCAGTGAGTAATAATTAAATTAAAGATAATACCATATTCATCATTTTCAACAAAGAACATGACATTATGACATGTACTATTAATTTTTGCTCTACTAGTTTTTCTCTTTTTATTGGAGATAAAACTGGCAATGTCCGTGTTTTTCACTCAGTAGTGGTATGCATTCCACAGCCTATCTAAGGCAAGGATTTTAACTGGGACATATTTCTCAAAAGGTTCTTTTTCTTGCAGAGAGATTTTTGCTTATAGGGCACGTGTGCTCACCATAGAGACAGAAAGGAACAGAGAAACAGAAAGCAAGAAATCACCCCCACAGAGGGGATGGCTACGCCACAATCCCTTCTGTATTCTCCTCTTGGGACCTTGGGGATGCATGCACATGTGTCTGGTGTGAGTTTTAAGCCCCCGGGTCTTGGACTTGAACCATGCTCCACTACGTGGGAGTCCAGTGATGTAACTATTACACCATCTGCTGACCCTCAAAGGCTCTTTTGATCAGACGCTTTTGGAGACTCACCTGGAGAGTGTGAACTGCACTGTGTCTCCTCCCGGCTCTGTCACAAACCAAGTGTCTCAGGAAAGTCACTGAACCTTTCACATCCAATGTCTTTAGAGCTTTCAAAAGAGTCCAAAGTAGATGACCAGGGGAGCCACCCCTGAACCAGCATGCTGAGATTCGGTGGGTCGGGATATGGTCACCCGGGTCTCCTGTGGTGATGAACACGTGCAATAGCAGACAGCATCTGTCAAGAACAGAGAAGGGAGGGACCAGGGAGTGCTGCGGACAGAATTTCCACCCTCTGCCTGCGTAGCTGTTTCCCTGTAAGCTCTGCAGTGAGATGGCCTTTCCTAGTCAGCCTACCTGGCCCCCCCAGGTCACCTTGCTCTTACTGAAGCTGGCTAGCTCCACCCTCTCTGCCATAGAATCTGGAATGGCTGCTGGAGGTAGCTCATTCTGGGCAGGGCTTTCAAGAACTGCTCTGGCCATGCAAATCTAAGATCTGTTCTTCTTGGGCTCTTCTGCCTATCTGAGGCTGTGGAGAGAAGCCGAAGGTCATAAAGGCATTCTCTACCAGGGAAAAGTCCTGTTCACAAAAGCCCAGCTGCTTCCTTTCTCACAAAGGTTACAATGTTTCAAGAAGCTAGGGCGTGGACCTGAGAAATACACTCACTGTAGGGGCAAAAATCTGATTCTTGGAATTCATTATAATATCATACTGAAAACACAGCCGGCCAGTGCAGGAGGGGGTAAGAGCCTCATAGGAACCAAGGGCTGTGACCAGACAACCAGAAATCCCAGAATGCATTGACAGTGGTGAGTCCATTCACACTTACTTCCCATTATATCCCAGTGCATTTGGGGACAGGTCACTCTCTTAAGTGCTGTGAAGCTGAGTTTAGGCAGGTGTGATACTGGACAGCGCCCCAAGGCCGGAAGTAAAGCACACTTGCTGGAAGCCCAGGTACCTCACAGACAGGTTGGAGGCTCACCTAGGCCACCCAAAGACCAGAACAAAGTGTCTGTTGAATAGAACCTCACGTGTCACTTACTCAAGGCTCAGGGACTCGCACCTGGAGGTTGGCTTTGTGTGAAAACGGCGCCACCGCTGTCAGGTGAGCAACCTAACTGCCCCAGGTAGCGCCCCGCCCCGCCCCGCCC